GGGGGCGTGGGGGTGGGGAGGTGGCCTCTCTGCCACAATGCAATGGCCTGCCTTGCATGTTCGAGTAGTCCATTTCCCAGACTCAGGTTGTCTGCTGTCATTCCTTCCCTTCCTTACTCCCTCCCTTTATTCCTCCTTCTCTCCCTCCTTCTCTCCCTTCTCTCCCTTCTCCTCCCTCCCTCCCATCCTTCCTTCCTGATACAGGGTCTTACTTTGTAGCCTAGGCACATAGTGAATTCACAGTCCTGCCTCAGCTTCCTGTGTTGCTGAGGTTGTAGGCACATTCCACTGCACCCAGTCCTGTTCTCTCTTCTTCAGTCCCTCCTCCACCCAGACTCCAAACAATCCTCTTTTTAATCCTCCTAGTCTCCTAACACTTGATTCTATACACTTCCAGCTCAGCTACGTCTTGGCCTTTGATGGATTCCCACGCTTCCTGGACACTGGTGTCGTCCAGTCAGACCGTAGCCTCATAGCTGCCTTCTGTGGCCAGCGGCGGGACAGACCCCTCACTGTGCAGGCCCTGTCTGGTATGGGGGCTGGGGGGAGTGAGTTCTCTTTGTCTTGGGCCTCCTCCCACCTGTCAACATTGGGGATGGAATCCAGTCCAGGGTCTCTTGCATGCTAGGCAAGTGGTCTACCACTGAACCACACCCAGCCCATCAGGTAGAGTCTAGACAAGCATTCTCCCCTTAAGTCTCATCCTAGCCCTTGTCCTGCTTTTTGTTTTGATTTTGTTTTGTTTTAGTCCTGGGCTTCGTATCCTGAGCCTCTGAACCTGTCATCTAATCGAGTGTGGAGCACAGGTCCCAGTTCAGGGACTGCCATGGGCTTACAGGCAACACAGTCCTTTACGTGGGTGATGCAGCTCCTCTCCATCTCTAGACTTCAGTTGAGATGAAAATAGCAAGAGGACCAAACAGGGCATGTCTTTGAGGCATTTAGAATGTGGCTGGTATGGAACCCTGAGCATCTCCTTAGCCTAATGTTCTCAACAGGGGGTTTTTGTCCCTCAAGGAACATTTGGTGGAGTCTAGGGACATTTTGATTAGTGATTAAGGGTGCTGTGACATCTGACAAGTAGACACAGATGTGATGTTCATTCTTATAACACAGAAAGAATACTGTATTCACACCAAAGAATGACCTGACCCCCAGCATCCACAGGGCTGAGAGGATGAGAGCCCTGCTTAGGAGATGGAGATGCGGGAGAAATAGACACAGAAAAGACTTTGTTACCTGTGGTGGCTAAAGGGCCAGGCTTTGGAAATGTTTCTCTTTGTGTTGTGGCTCAGAGCAGTTGTGTGACATTAAAGGCGAAGGGGTGATTAGAGATGGTTTGCTAGAGACGGTATGAAACCCCGGGCCTCAGAAGAAGCCTCTAGAAGTGAGTGGATGCCACAGCATTCGATCAGTGTTAACTGAGCATCTGCGCTGAGCTGAGCTGAGTCAGACACTGGGGTGCAGCAGTGAGCAAGGGACATCCGCACCGCCCTGATGGGCTGGGGGTAAAAGGGAACAAACTGCTTGGAGCAATACCCAGGCTTAGAAGAGTTGGTTTTTCACTGAGACAGTGGAAGGGAATGAGTTCCTGACCTCCTCTGGAGAGCTGTGGGGCTGGGAAGGGCTTCTTTGAAGAGCGGAATTGAGCTAGAGACAGAGGGTCAGAGGCATGGGGAGGGCAGCTTCTCCAGGCACGAGAGCAGCAGGTGCCAAGGCCCTGAGGGCAGGGTGGAGGAGCCAGTATTGGGGTGCACAGGATGGTGAAAGTGGGAGGCCCTGAGTTCAGAGGAGTCTTTAGGCCCTTATGGGCACCAGAAAGGGACTTTGGACTTTTGAAAGACAGTCCTGATATAGCCCAGATGGCCTCAAACTCACTATAATCCTCTTGCCTCAGCCTCCCAAGTAATGGGATAGCAGGGATGCACTACCGTGTGGCTGCCTTCCTTCTCTCTCTCCCTCTGTCCTTTCTCCCTTCCTTTTTTGAAATAGGGTCTCACGTAGTACAGGTCAGTTTTGAACTCACTATGTAGCCAAATATGACCTTGAACTCCTGATCTTCCTGCCTCTACCTTAGTGCTGGGAGATATATATGGTCTTTTTTTTTTTTTTGGTCTTTTTGAGACAGGGTCTCCTGTAGCCCCAGCTGGCCTGGAACTCACAGAGATCTGCCTGCCTCTGCCTCCCGAGTGCTGGGACTAAAGGCGTGCACCACCTTGCCTGGCCTATATATGGTCTTTTTGAGACAGGGTTTCCTTATAGTCTCAACTGGCCTGGAACTCACTATATAGATTAGGCTGGCCTCGGACTCACAGAGATCTGCCTGCCTCTGCCTCCCATGTGTTGGGATTAAAAGGCTTGTACCACTGCACCTGGTTTAAAAAATATTTTATTATTTTTATTTTATGTGTATGAGTGTATTGCCTGTATGTATGTAAGTGCACCTGTGTCATGTGTCTGACCCATGTGTCTGACCCATGGAGGTCAGAAGAGGGTGTCAGATTCAGATCCCCTGGAATTGGAGTTATAGATGGTTGTTAGCTGCCATGTGGGTGTTGGGAATTGAACCCAGGTCCTCTGTAAGAGCAGCCAGTGCTCTTAACTGTTGAGCTATCTCTCCAGCCCTGAGTGCAGGGATGTTAAGCATGTGCCAACATGCTTGGTTTTATGCAGTGCTTGTGACTGAACCCAGGGCTTTGTCCATGCTATGCAAGCACTCTACCAACTGAGCTACACCTCAGTCCCTCCCTCCCTCCCTCCCTCCCTCTCTCCCTTCCTTCCTTTTCTTTCTTTCTGCTTTGAGGCAGGGTCTCATGTAGCTCAGGCTGGCCTTGAACTCCTGATCCTCCTGCTTCTGCCCCTGAGTGGTAAAGTTATAGGCATAGACCATCACAACACTCTTTTTCAGGAAAGGTGGCCTTACATAAAAGCAGTATGGCACTGTGGAAGGTTTGCACTTGCCCATGATAGGGTCAGGTTCATGACTATAAGATCACAGGGCCTGTTGGAGGGCAGAATATAGGGCAGCCAGGAGATGGTGGGATATGGTGCTGGTGTAGGGGAGATGAGACACTGGCTTGGATGACAGCTCAGGTGATAGCGACAGTGAGTGGATAGAGAAATTTAGTATTTTTGTTTGTTCTTTTTTTTTTGGTTTGGTTTGGTTTTTTGAGACAGGGTTTTCCTGCAGCCCCCACTTGTCTGGAACTCACTCACTATGTAGACCAGGGTGGCCTCAGTCTCACAGAGAACTGCCTGCCTTTGCCTCCTGATGCTGGAATTCAAGGTCTGCTCTACCATGCTTGGCCCTGTTCATTTGTTTTTGAGATAGGCACTCGCTTATGTAGCCCTGGCTGGCCAGGAACTGCCTATGTAGGCCAGGCTGGCCTCCAGCTCACAGACATCTACCTGCTTCTGCCTCATAAATGCTGGGAATAAAGGTGTTGGCCATTATACCTGATTTATCCTTTATTACTATTTTTGTGATGCCAGGGACTGAATCCAAGACCCTGTATAAGTTAGGCATGTACTCTACTACAGTGCGAGAGCCCCAGCCTAGGATTTAGGTTTAAAATGGCTGGAATTTAGAGCCAGGTGTGGTGGCACACTCCTGTAATCTCAGCACTTCGGAGGTAGAGGCAGGAGGATCAGGAGTTCAAGGTCATCATCATCTATATAGTGAATTAGAGGTCAACCTGGGCCACATGAGACCTTATCTCAAAACAAAACAAAGCAACCCAAAATTAAAATTAGAATGTATGGAACATGATGGGTTGGCTAAGGGAGGGGTATGTTATGAATGGCTGGCTTCTCTGGGTTTTCTCCAACACCACTGGAACAGTGTCTGCAGGGGTTCCTAACCAGCCTTCCACCTCTCTCCCACAGGGTTGCTTGTGTTGCACTGGGAGGCCAATGGCTCCTCATCCTGGGGCTTCAATGCCTCTGTAGGCTCTGCTCGCTGTGGCTCAGGGGGTCCTGGGAGCTGCCCTGTTCCCCAGGAGTGTGTGCCTCAGGATGGGGCTGCAGGTGCTGGGCTCTGCCGATGTCCCCAGGGCTGGGCTGGCCCCCACTGCCGCATGGCTCTGTGTCCTGAGAACTGCAACGCCCACACTGGGGCCGGGATTTGTAACCAGGTACAGATGGGACAGGGACTGCCAGGTGAGACGAGTGGTATTCAGGGCTCCCCTGAGCTTCTCTCTCCTGTCCCCAGAGCCTGGGTGTATGCATCTGTGCTGAGGGCTTCGGGGGCCCAGACTGTGCCACAAAGCTGGATGGTGGGCAACTGGTCTGGGAGACAGTCATGGACAGCCGCCTCTCTTCTGTGAGTTGGGGACCGGCTCTGTCCCATGGGTCATTCTCCCACCTCCTCTCCTAGGACCACCCCTAGACTCTCCCCTGAGGCCTGGTACTTTGTCATGGCTTTGTCTGACCTCTGGTACCTTACCTACTCCAGGACACCGCTAGTCGCTTCCTGCACCGCCTGGGACACACAATGGTGGAGGGACCTGATGCCACCTTGTGGATGTTTGGGGGCCTGGGTCTGCCCCAAGGGCTGCTGGGAAACCTGTATAGGTGAGGACTGCTTTAGGGAGCTGGGATACCTGAATACAAAAAGCTTACTTCAAGGACTGCTGAGCTATCTGTTATGCAAGTCACCCCAGAAAAACCTGTAAGGTGAAGGATACCCTTGAAGGCTGTTGGGACACTTGTCATAGAGGGCCAGCCTGTTTGTGGACAGCAGGGCTGGAATACTGTTTGGATGGTGCTGCCACAGGATGTTAAGTTGATTGTCATAGGAAAGTCAACCTAGGGAATGCTGGGACATATTTAAGGATGCAGAAATGACTATTTAATGAGACTCCTTCTTGCATCTTGACCCTAGGTATTCAGTGAGTGAGCGCAGGTGGACACAGATGCTGGCAGGAGCTGAAGATGGGGGCCCAGGCCCATCACCCCGTTCTTTCCATGCAGCTGCCTATGTGCCTGCTGGCCGTGGTGCCATGTACTTATTGGGGGGCCTCACAGCTGGGGGCATAACCCGTGACTTCTGGGTCCTCAACCTCACTACCCTGCAGTGGCGACAGGAGAAGGTTAGTGTCTGTCTCCATCCCAGTCCTGTTCCCCCCCATCCTCCCACCCTTGGTCCAACACAAATGGCCATAGTAGTTCCTTTGAGCTTCATTATCAGAGGAAAACTATCCTCTTAGGGTTCCAGCCGAAGAATAGGGGGTGGGGGCATGGCTCAGTGGGAGAGCACCATAGAATCCACTAGTGAGGAGCTGGGGGTGTGGCTCAGTGGTAGAGCAACTGCCTAGAATCCCCCAGTGAAGGGATGGGGGTGTGGCCTAGTGGTAGAGCACCTGCCTAGAATCCCCCAGGGTGGTAGTGTACTTGCATAGCTTGCATCAGGCTATGGAGTCTATTCCCAACACTTCAGTGGGTGGGGGATTCTAGAACTGAATTTCATTGTTCAGTCTGGGTCACACATCGCAGTACTAATATGATCACTGGACATGGCCTGTGAAATTCCAGTTGGTGAGACTGGGATACAATCCCACCCAGCAACAGAGAGAGCAAAGGAATAAGAGCTTCTCCTTGGGCTTGAAGAGTGGGAATGAAACCAGCAGAAGTGATTGGCCCAGGTGGGCCAGGGTCCCAGCAGCCCTAGAGAGCTTACTACTCCTTAACTGAGGCTGAGTCTCACTTCTATCTGTAAAGTGAGCCCCTCTTGCCCCTTGGGTAACCTTGGTTCTCTGTCTTGTAGGCCCCTCAGAATGTGGAGTTGCCAGCAGTCGCTGGTCACACCCTTACTGCCCGCCGAGGCCTGTCTCTGCTCCTGGTGGGTGGCTACTCCCCAGAAAATGGCTTCAACCAGCAGTTGTTGGAATACCAGCTGGCAACTGGCACCTGGGTATCTGGAGTCCAGAGTGGGACACCTCCAACAGGTGGGGCTGCAACAGAGCTGTCTGGGCTTTACCTAAGCTCCGCATCCTCTTCCACACTCTGGTCACCTTTTTATCTCCTTGCTGTCCATTAACCCCACCTAGATTCCCAGGGAAGTGTCTCTGGCATGTTGAGTTTCTCTCTTTACTCCCCAAATTCCATGATGAACTGTTCACCTCCCCCTAATGCAGCTCCCATTCCCTCCCCGGGTTCTGAGATCTCCACCTTGAGGGGCTCTTTCCTCTCCTCCCCTTTCTCTCTCCTTCTTTCTGTCTCTTCAGGATACTTTGATCCCTGACCCTCAGATATTCTGCTGTCCTGATTCCTTCCTACCAGCCCATCACAACTTCCCAAGTGTTGGCTGTTCTTCCTGGGATTGTGTTCTAGATCCCAAAGAGAAGGGGCAGCAGAGGACTCCTAAGTCTCTGGGGCCAAGTGGGGTAGGGGTGTGGTCCCTGAGAAGAGAAGGGAAGGTCAGTGAGGTAGGGGACACAGCTGGTTGTCAGCCACCTGCCATCTCTGTGGTCATTCTGCCCTCTCCAGGTCTCTATGGCCATTCTGCAGTCTACCATGAGGCCACCGACTCCCTCTATGTGTTTGGGGGCTTCCGCTTCCACGTGGAGCTGGCAGCCCCGTCTCCAGAACTCTACTCCCTGCACTGTCCTGACCGCACCTGGAGCTTGCTGGCCCCTTCTCAGGGGGCGAAGGTTAGGATGGCTTTAGTGGCAGGAGGGGGGTGCCCCAAGGACTGACTCCCTCCTGGATTCCTGTCTCTTGTCCTTCCATTGCAGTTCCCTACATTGAGCTGTGATATGCCCAGGCTGCCTCTTTTTTTCATGCCTTGTTTGGAGGAAAGAATCCTTGGCCAGGAAGTCAGGGGCGTGGATTCTTTTTTTTGTCCTTTTGAGACAGGGTCTCCCTGTAGCCCGGGTGGTCTGGAACTCACTATGTAGACCAGGTTGGCCTTGAATTCATGGCCACCTGCCTCCCGAGTGCCAGGATCAAAGGCGTGCGCCACCACGCCTGGCTCTATCTGTGATTCTTTTCAACACCTACGTTATAAGGCCAAGAAGACAAGGTGTGGGGGAATGGGAATTGTCTGTGCTGGGACAGTTCAATGTGTATTGCACATACATTCCTAAACCCCTCTGGGGGAGAGGGAGGAGGAGACCAAGGCTAAGTTTTCAGGGTACAACATAAATTGTGGGGGTTCCAGGTCTTCCGGGGAAGGGAAGTGTTTCTTGGGCTGCTCTAAAGGAGCAGGTTGGAGGAAGGTGAAGATGGGATGAGCTGGAGGAGGGCAGGGAGGGAAATTCAAGGGTGGCAGGTGGGTTGGGAGGGAACGTGTGGAACAAGGGACTGGATTCTGACAGGCCATCTCTGTGTATGTCTCCCCGAAAGCCCCGCCCCCGGCTTTTCCATGCTGCAGCTCTGTTAGGAGACACCATGGTGGTCCTTGGGGGGCGCTCAGACCCGGATGAGTTCAGCAGCGATGTTCTGCTCTACCAGGTCAACTGCAACACCTGGCTGCTGCCGGACCTCACACGTAAGTCCCTGTTTCTCTGGAAGCTGGGGGACATCTGAGATCCTGTCCTGAGACCTTGGCCCTCTCATTAGAGGCCACTTGGGCCTCTTAGACTCCATCAGTGAAGTTCTTTTCCCCTCCCATATTATCTAAAGACCATAGAGTTGCTTTCCTTCTTTTTTTTCTTTTTCTTTAACAAATTTTAAAATTGTTTTTGTTTCTTTTTTTTTTTTTTAATTATGTGTGTGTCTGTCTTTATGTGGGTATGTGCATGTGAGTACTGGTGGTGTGTAGTCTAGACACATTGGGTCCCCCTGGAGCTGGAGTTACAGGCAGTTGTAAGCTGTCTATGTGAGTGCTGGGAACCAAACTTGGATCCCCTGCAAGAACGGTGCAGTGCTTTTAAAACCACTGGGCTATCTCTCCAGCTCCTAAACTTAAAAAAAAAATTTTTATTATTTTTATTTTTTTATGTGTATGCGTGTATTGCCTGCATGTAGGTAAGTGTGTGTTGTGCAATGCCTGTGGAGGTCGGATCCCCTGGGACTGGAGTTACAGATAGTTGTTAGCTGCCATGTGGGTGCTGGGATTTGGACCTGGGTCTTCTGCAAGAACATTCTGTGTTCTTAGCCATCTTTCCAGCCCCATCTACTCTTAAACTTTTTAAAGATTACATTTATTTATTAACTTGTGGGGGGGGGTGAGGGAGTATGTACTGCCATGGTGCATGTGTGGAGGTCAGAGGTCAACTTGTGGGAGTTGGTTCTTTGCTTCCACCGTGTGGGTCTGATGACTGAACTCAGGTCATCAGGCTTGACAGCAAGTGTCTTTACCTGTCGAACCATCTCATGGCTCTCTTCCTTCTTTTTTCTTAGAAAGGTTTATTTTGTATTCTCTTTATAAAAGTGATAATAGCCACTGTATACAATTTATAAAACAGGATGGACAAAAAAAACCCAAATCATTTTCTAGGCCGAGTGGTGGTGATGCTTTTAATCCCAGCACTCAGGAGGCAGAGGCAGGTGGATGTCTGTGAGTTCAAGGCCAGCTTGGTCTACATAGTAAGTTCCAGACTAGCTAGGGTGACATAGTGAGACCCTGTCTCAAAAACAAAACAAGAAAACATTCTCTAGACAGAACACTGTTGTAAGTGGAGTGTTTCCTTCCAGGTTTGCTGTTTGTGGGTTAGAAAGGGGCTTAAAGAATTGGAAGTTCTAGGAGCTGAAGAGATGGTTCAGTGGTTAAAAGTGCCTTGTGTACAGTCATAAACACCAGAATGTGGATCCATATAACAAGCAGGGGGGTCTTACACATCCTTGTAACACCAGCTCCAAGGCGGGGCAGACAGGAGGATTGCTGGAGTTTGTTGACTTCCCGCCTAGCTGAGAAAACATGAGTCCCAGGTTCAGGGAGAGTGATAGAGGACACCTGAGCCCCCTTCTGGCCTCCATGTGTGTGCACATGAACACATGGAGATAAATAAATCTTTTTAAAAACTGGAAGTTGGGGCTGGAGGGATCATTCAGTGGTTAAGAGCATCGGCTGCTCTTGCAGAGGACCTGGGTTTGGTTCCCAGTAGCCACATGGCAGCTGACATCCAGTTTCAGTTCCAGGGGATCCCATGCCTTCTTATGGCCTCTGCAGGCATTGCATGCATGTGGTGCACCTACATGCATGCAGACAAAACATTCATAGTGGTGCATGCCTTTAGTCCCAGCACTCAGGAGGCAGAGGCAGGTGGATCTCTGTGAGTTCAAGGCCAGCCTGATCTGCATAGCAAGTTCCAGGCCAGCTAGGGCTACAGGGAGACCCTGTCTCAAAAAGACCTGCCCCCCCCCAAAAAATTGGAAGTTCTTAGTGGGGCTGGAGAGATAACTCAGCAAGCAGTTAAGCTACCCACATAGTGGCTAACAACTGGCTGTAACTCTAGTTCCAGCAGAATCCAACACCTCTTCTGACCTCCATGGGCAGTGCATGACACAGGTGTACTTACATGCAGGCAATACACTCCTACACATAAAAATAATAAAATATTTAAAAAATTGGAAATTCTAGAATTCTACTTGTAAAATTGTAAGTATACAGAAATGTGGAATATACTGTTGAATAAACTTTACTTTTATGAAGCTCAAAAGAAACCAGAAACAAATAAGAAAGGTGCTATTTATTAATTAGTCATTATATCCTCAGCACCTGGCGTGCAGTAATTAATGGAAGAATGACAAGTGGGAGAGTCTAGATAGGTTAGAACTAGAAAAGAACTTGTATTCTGTAATAAGCAATGTTGGGAGGTGGTGCCGAGACCTGGGCATATGGCTTGTTTTCAATGCTACTGAGAACCCTGGGCCTCATGAATGTGAGACAGTTGCTCTACTAGGAAGCCTCTGGTGGATTCTAGGCAAGCGCTCTACCCTTGAGCCATGCCTCCAGCCTGCAGTCCTAGAATCCCCATAATCTATGTTGCTCCACATAAACTTTGCCTTGGTCTCTTCTGCCTCTGCCTTCCTCAGAGGCTTAGGAATGTGTTGGCGATCACACACACAGCCATGTCCCTACCAGCAGAGTAAACAGTTCTCCCACATCTTGTCTCCTTGGCCTTATAGGACAAGATTCTAGGCAAATGTTCTACCACTGAGCCATGCCCCCAGCCCCTCACTGGTGGAGTCTAGTCAAGAACTCTCCTGCTGAGCCATGTCCCCAGTCCATATTTTATCTTTTTATTTCATTGAGCATTGTGAGTGATTGTGTGTGTTTCTGGGCCCATGTTTCTGAGTTTCTTCCTTTTTTTTTGTTCTCTCTGACCTTTTCTCATTCCCTTTTACTCTGAGTCAACCTTTCTAATACTCTTTCTGTCTTGGATTTTTAAAAAGCTGAGATGTAATTAATGTAATATAAAATAATCCATTTAAAAATGATCCATAGAGCTTTGGGTATAACTTAGTGGTAGGGCATTTGCTTGGCATGCATAGTGCCGTGCCCTGAGTTCAGTCCCCAGTAACACACACACACACTCTCTCTCTCCCCAGTCTCTGTTCCTGGTTGTCTCTGTTCCTGGTTGGTTGGTTGGTTATCCAGTGTTGGAGATGGAACCCTGCAGTGCAGGGTCTTGTACATGCTAGGCTCTGGCTTCATCACTGAACCACATCCTCAGCCCACCTCTGCTCTTGCTCCTCCCTTTCCATTCCTTTGTTTGTCTACCTTTCTGTTCTTGGCTGTTTGATTCCCCTGTCCTTCTGTCTCGCCTCCTTGCCGATCTGTGTCTCCCTCCTTTGACTCTGTCCTCTCTGGATGTCTTTCCTGACAAAGTCTGTCTATCCCTTTCTGCTCTCTATTTTCTGCTCTCTAGTTCTGAACACCCCATCTTTCTTCAGGCCCAGCCTCTGTGGGGTCCCCGATGGAGGAGTCTGTGGCCCATGCAGTGGCAGCAGTCGCGAGCCGCCTGTACATCTCTGGGGGATTCGGGGGAGTGGCCTTGGGCCGCCTCCTGGCACTGACCCTGCCCCCTGACCCTTGTCGCCTACTGCCCTCACCTGAAGCTTGTAACCAGTCTGGGGCCTGCACCTGGTGCCATGGCGCTTGCCTGTCTGGGGATCAGGCCCACAGGTAACCATGATGACTGACAGCCCATTGTGCAGTACTGTGAGGGGTTTAGAGGTTTGTAAGCCTAGAGGGAGGCCTTGGAGGTCTCCTGTTTGGTTCCAGTTGACACTGGGGAAGTGGGTGAATCATCTGAGATTGGGAGGGGGGTTAGCACTACTATAGTAGGGAGGTCTGTTTGTGTCCTGAAGTCTCATTTTGGAGGAGCTGGATTAGACCAGGGTTCTAAATGACAAGTAGGGTTTAGACCAGCAAAGATGGAAAGTGCTGCTATACCCAGTGTATTTTCGAGATGATCTCTACTGGGGTCAGCTCAGAAAGGGTTTCTTATACCTGGCTGGGATGCTAGGCTCTGTCCAGCTCCATAGTGTCCTCACCTACAGTTCAGGAATCCAGACATCTCTGGAAACCAAAAAGCTCTCAGTTTGCAACAACTCATTGGTCTGCTGCATTATCGTGATGGGAGCCTATTCACGAGCTTTCCCCTCCCTGTGAAGCATGTCGCCATATAACCTGCAGAGGTGTTAATGGATCTGATTCTGGGTGCTGTCCTACTCTCTGGGCCTGTGTATCATCGCAGGAGCCATGTGTTGCTTTTCTAAAATCTGGAAATTCTGAAATCCATGTACCTCCAAGGATTTGGGGCAAGGAGTTATGGACCTGTGCTGTGGATGGTGGGGAGCCATGGTGGGCTTGAGCTGAAAGAGGCAGGCAGGCTGGGCAGGGAGATTCCTGGAACTTTTGTGAGGGAAAGAGTATCAAGGGGAGCTGGCAGGGGGATACCTAAGCTCTGGCCATGTGAGAGGAAGACTCCTGTTTTGGGTAGAAGTGGGGAGGAAGAGACAGTTGGTGATGTCTTAGGCACCTGTAGTAGGTGAACATGGGTGTATCCATCACTAAGCAGTGATGCTGACCAGGATCCTGATGTCCAGCTTGGAACATCTGGGTTGGGGTACTTTAGGACTATATGCAAGAGACAGAGCTTGAGTCCTGGATGCATGTGAGTGAGCCAGCCTCATGCCCTCTAGGCTGGGCTGTGGGGTGCCCCCTTGCTCCCCAATGCCTCGGTCACCTGAGGAATGTCGGAGGCTGAGGACCTGCAGTGAGTGCCTGGCCCGCCATCCCCGGACACTGCAGCCTGGAGATGGGGAGGTAAGTGATTGACAGGTAGAGGGGCGGGGGTCCTAGGCTCCATTGTGGTCCATTGCCCCACCCATTCCTGGATATCAGGAACCATGGAATCTGTCATCTGAGATTGGGTGGGTGGGAAGAGCTATGTCAGAAGGGATGCTGGGCCCTACAGAGCCCACCAAACCCACCTTTCCCCCACCAGGCATCTGTCCCCCGCTGTAAGTGGTGCACCAACTGCCCCGAGGGTGCCTGCATTGGGCGTAATGGCTCCTGCACCTCAGAGAACGACTGTAGGATCAACCAACGAGAGGTCTTCTGGGCTGGGAACTGCTCTGAGGCTGCATGTGGAGCCGCCGACTGTGAGCAGTGCACACGGGAGGGCAAGTGCATGTGGACACGACAGTTCAAGAGGACTGGTGAGTCAGTGGGCTTGGCACCTGAAGGGAGTTTAGAGGTCTGGACCCCTGGATCTGAGGGAGGAGGGCTGGGCCTGGACCCCTGGATCTGAGAGAGGAGGGCTGGGGCCTGGACCCCTGGGCCTGAGGGAGGAGGCTAGAGCCTGGACCCCTGGGCCTGAGGGAGGAGGGCTGGGCCTGGACCCCTGGGTCTGAGGGAGGAGGACTGGGGCCTGGACTTCTGGGTCTGAGGGAGGAGGCTAGAGCCTGGACCCCTGGGCCTCAGGGAGGAGGGCTGGGGCCTGGACCCCTGGATCTGAGGGAGGAGGGCTGGGCCTGGACCCCTGGGTCTGAGGGAGGAGGACTGGGGCCTGGACTCCTGGGTCTGAGGGAGGAGGCTAGAGCCTGGACCCCTGAGCCTGAGGGAGGAGGGCTGGGGCCTGGATCCCTGGATCTGAGGGAGGAGGGCTGGGCCTGGACCCCCAGGTCTAAAGGAGGAGTCCAGAGACTGGACTGGTTACTGATCCTTGTGTCCCCAACCCCAGGGGAGACTCGCCGCATCCTCTCAGTGCAGCCCACCTATGACTGGACGTGCTTCAGCCATTCTCTGCTGAATGTGTCCCCAATGCCAGTGGAATCATCACCTCCACTGCCCTGCCCCACCCCCTGCCACCTCCTCCCCAACTGCACCTCCTGCCTGGACTCCAAGGGTGCAGATGGGGGCTGGCAGCATTGTGTATGGAGCAGCAGCCTCCAACAGGTACTGCCCTGGCTTGTGCCCTGACCTCTGTGCCCTGGCCTGTGCCCTGACCTCTGTGCCCCATCCTGTACCCTGACCTCTGTGCCCCATCCTGTGCCCTGACCTCTGTGCCCTGTCCTCTGTGCCCTGGAAATGGCCAGCCCTGACCTTTCTTGCTCTGTTCTTCCTCCATCCTTTTAGCTTCCAGCCTTCTTCCTCTTACTGTCTGTCCTAGTTTATCTTTCCATTGCTGACAAAACACTCTGAGCACTACCAACTTGGGGAGGAAAGGGTTTATTTGTCTTACATCTCCCAGGTCACAGTTCATCAGGAAGCCCGAGGTAGGAACTCAGGGCAAGAACCTGGAGGCAGGAGCTGGAGCACAGGCCATGGAGGATCGCTGCTTAGTGACTTGCTCCCTGGCCCCTGCTCAGCCTGCTTCTTGATGCAACACAGGCCCACCTGCCCAGGGGTGGCACCACCCACAGTGGGCTGGGGCCTCCCACATCACTCAGCAATCAAGAAAATGCCCCACAACCATGGCCACAGCCCAGTCCTATGGAGGAAATTCCCCAATTGAGGCTCCCTCAACCCAGGTGTGTCAAGTTGACACTAAAGCATCCAGCACACCCCGTCTTCGCCTTCATGTCCCCTGCTGTTCTGTCCATAGCTCGGTGCCTCCCTTGACCTCAGCCCCTGTGTCCCTTCAGCTTTCATTTGGGGCCCAGTGAGACAATACCAGAAAGGGCTGGGAGGACTGGGTTCAAAGAGGGCAGACCAGGCCGGGTGTGGTGGCACACACTTTTAATCACAGCACTTGGGAGGCAGAGGCAGGCAGATCTCTTGTGAGTTCAAGGCTAGCCTGGTCTACATAGTGAGTTCTAGGCTAAGGCCAGCTGGGGCTACAGGGAGACCCTGTCTCAAAAAGACCAAAAAAACAAAAAAAAAAAAACACCCCGAAGAGGACAGACTTGGGCCTTGTGTGTCTGTGGGTTGGAGATGTGACTGGGAGGTGGATGTGGCTGGAACATTCCACCACTTGATTGCCTACCACACTGTCTGTTCCTAGAAAGTCCAAAGATGTGTCCGAATGGGAGACAAGTGGGAGACGAGAGATCCACCTTCCCTTAACACATCTAGCGACAAGAGTCTGGTTCCCACTTTCTACTCGTGCATACTCTCATAACTCAGGACCCAGTGGCAGCATGCCACCTTACCAGACCACTGAGAACTGTCATCAGTTCAGCCGCCTCCTTGAACCCAGCCTACAGCAGTCCTGGGAAAATGGGACAGATGCCATTAGAACTTCCATTCCAAGAACTGACTTTAGAACCCTACAGCTCATCCTGCATGTCCCACCCCAGAAGGACAGGGCACAGAGGGCTGCAGGCTTCCAGAGCTAGAACTCCACCTAGGGGTGGCGTAGCAGTTCGTTCACCTTGTGATCAAAATCTCAGGCTCAAGGCTCTGTCAGTAAAGTACCTGCCTGTTAAGCATGACGACTGAATTCAATCCCCTGAGTGTGTGGCTCATGCTAGTAATCCCAGTGCTAGGGAGGCAGAAACAGTCAGATCCCTGGGGTTTGCCAGCCAGCCAGCCTGGCCTACTCAGTGAGTTCCAGGCCAATTAGTTACTTTTCTTGTTGCTGTGACAAAATACCTGACACAGGGGCTGAAGAGATGGCTCAGCAGTTAAGAGCACTGATTGCTCTTGCAGAGGACCTGGGTTCGATTCCCAGCACCCACATGGCGGCTACCAACCATCCTTAACTCCAGTTCCAGGGGAATCCGAAGCCCTCTTCTGACCTCCACAGCATTGCATGACATGGGTGCACTCACATACATGCAAGCAATACACTCATACACATAAAATAAAAATAATAAAATATATATATATAAAAAAAACTGACACAGCAACTTAAGAAGGAAGAACTAGATAATTCTGGCTCACAGTTCGAGGATGCAGTCCATCATGGCAGGACCGTCCTGGCAGGCAACAGGAGCTTGAGGCGGCTGTCACCACATCCCTGATCCTGAAGCAGAGAGAGGAGTGCTGGTGCTCAGCTAGCTTTTTCCTTTTTTATTTGGTCCCATGGTCATGGAATGGTGCCGCCTTCATTTTGGGTGGGTCTTTATACCTCTGAGAACCAAATCTAGAAACTCTTGCATACCTGACCTAGGTGATTCTAAATTGACAGTATTAACCCGAAAAGTCCGTAACAAGCAGAGGTCTCTTGTCTATACACCTGGGGTCCTTCTGGCAAGTCTTCCCTAAATGTTTTTATTTTTTTTCTTTTTCTTTGTGGTATTGGGAGTTGAATCCAGGGCCTAACACATGCTAGGCAAGCCCTCCTCCAACTAAGCTATATACGTCCATAGCCCTCCCCAGTATTTGTTTGTTTGTTTGAGACAGGGCCTCCCTGTAGTCACAGCTGGCCTGGAATGCTCTATGTAGCCCAGGCTGGCCTCAAACTCACAGAGACCCACCCGCCTCTGCCTCCCAAGTGCTGAGAATTTATGAGAATCTATTCCATGCCTAGTTTGGACTCCTTGGCAAAGTTTTCACTGAGCAAAGTGGCTGGCCAGCCCTCCCTTCAGCAGGCTCCAGCCGCTGCAATCAGGGTTTCTATTTCAGGACTGTACCATTGCTTTGTTTCTTCCTAAGTGCCCTTGGGCTAGCAGCCCAGATTAGTCTCTTCCCTCTTATACTTAAGGCCAAGCAGGAAATAAAATGCTGTTGTACCCCATAGTATGATAGTGTGTTCCCAAGGGATAGGACCTCATTGTGCAAGCAGTCTGGATCCTAACCAGTGAGTGACAGCTTGTGAATTGCCACCTGGCTTCTTACCCAGGACTCCTCTGCCTCTCTGCTGGGTGGAAGAAGCCTTTTTGCCCTGCAGCTAGGCCCAAGTTTGTTGTAAGAAACTGTGCCTTATAACTTTGTTCTGGGTGCCCTTCTGTCTGTATTTCTACCTACTGTCTGTAGGAAACAAATATCTGAGCTGGTAAGGAGTGGGGACTCCCTGAATCAATATAATGGCACCTTTGGGAAACGGGAGTTTACTTTGTTTTATTGAGACAGGGTCTCCTTGTAGCTCCAGCTGTCCTGGAATTCACTATGTAGACTAGGCTGGCCTTGAACTCCCAGAGATCCACCTGCCTTTGCCTCCCGAGTGCTGGGATTAAAGGTGTGCACCACCATGCCCGGCTGGGAGTTTACTTTTTAACTTTTAAAAATTATACATTGGTTTCACAAGGCCTTTTTCATGCAAGTATATAATGTGTCTTTTAAAAATTTTCTATTTATTTTGTGGGGTGAGGTACACATGTGTGTGGGGCTCAGAGGACAACTTGTAGGAATCTGTTCCTTACACTATGTGGGGTCCCAGGATTCAAATTCAGGTCATCAAGGCTTGTCAGCAAGCTTTACCCTCTTGCTGGCCCTGGCCTTGGGCTCTTGATTCTCTTGCTTCAGCCTCTCAAGTGCTGGGATTACAGGCATCCCACCACACCCAGCTCCTTTTAGAACATGGGTAGAAAGTTTGGCAGGGCTTCACAGGGCTGGATGCAGAGCCCTGAAAGCTGCCCTCCTTCCCTCTGCCTCTCCATCCTTGGGAAGTGACAACTCATCTCCGCTGTCTGTGTCTGCTCTCTTCCTGCCCCTCCCCATCATCTTCATGTGCTCATCATCTCCTCCCAGTGCCTTCTAGCCCAGGTCTCCATCATGGTCTTTCAGAGCCCTGACCCCACTTCCCACTAACATTTTTTTTTTTGGACATAGGGTCTCGTGTAGACCAAGCTGGCTTTGAGCTCACTATGTAGCTGATGATAGCCTTGAACTCTTGATTTTCTTTTTTAAAAAATTTATTAATTTTTTATTTTTAATATTATTTTTATCTTATGTATATGCGTGTATTGCCTGTGTATAGGTAAGTGTGCCCGTGTTGTGCAGTGCCCATTGGAGGACAGAAGGGGCTGTCAGATCCCCTGGAACTGGAGTTACAGACAGTTGTTGGCTGCCATGTGGGTGCTGGGATTCGAACCCAGGTCTTCTGCAAGAATAGCCAGTGTTCTTAACCGCTGAGCCATGTCTCCAGCTCCTAAAATTTTTGTTTTATGTGTACGAATGTATTGTCTGCATGTCTATAAGTGCACCCGTGTTGTGCAATGCCCACAGAAGTCAGAAGAGGGTGGCTGATCCCCTGGAACTGGAGTTATAGATGGTTGTTAGCCATCATGTGGGTGCTGGGAATTGAACCCAGGTCCTCTGAAAGAGCAGCGAGATGGCTGGAGATGGCCGAGCCATTGCTCCAGCCCCCGAACTCTTGATTTTCTTATCTCTACCTCTTGAGTGCTGTGATTACAGGCATGGGCTACCACACCTAGCTCATCCACTTCCAGTCTTGAAGTCTGGATTACAAATGCTTTTGAGGGCATATGTGACAGCCTAGCTACTGTCCTGAGGTAGCTAGAACCAGGGATGGTGGGCCTGGGAAAAGAGGTTATGCTCTGGGAATTATATTTGACTTTTTTCCCTGCCTTTCTCTTCTTCCTCCCTGGACAGTGTCTGAGCCCCTCCTACCTGCCCTTGCGATGTATGGCTGGAGGCTGTGGGCGGCTACTTCGGGGGCCAGAGAGCTGCTCCCTGGGCTGTGCTCAGGCTACACAGTGTGCCCTGTGTCTACGACGACCCCACTGTGGCTGGTGTGCCTGGGGGAGTCAGGATGGGGGTGGACGCTGCATGGAGGGTGGCCTCAGTGGCCCCCGTGATGGTGAGAGGGTTTGGGGAGCTGGGAAGTGGGCTGGTCAGGATCTGGTATAGAGATCAAGGGGATACTGGGCAAGTTTTCAAGGTGGGGTTCAGAGGAGATGGGGCAAGGGCCTGGGTCACTGGGGAGGTGGTGCAGAGGTGCCCTGGGTGAAGCTCTAATATCCCCTGAGGCAGGACTGACGTGTGGCCAATCTGGGGCATCTTGGGCCTTCTTGTCTTGCCCCCCTGAGGATGAGTGTGCAAATGGGCACCATGACTGCAATGAGACCCAGAACTGCCATGACCAGCCACATGGCTACGAGTGCAGCTGCAAGACTGGCTATACCATGGACAAGTAAGGCTGCGGGTGGGGCCTGGGCAGGGTGAGGGCCTGGAAGGCAGGTGGGAGAGCGTCTGGGGAGCCATGAGGATGAATGAGCCAAGTCCCATGGAGGAAAGGGAGCCCAAGGTGCTCAGGTGGTAGAATTGGTCTACGAGAGGGAAGGGCAGTTGGCTGAGTCATGGAGGGGACAAAATGGTGAGACCAGGAATGAATGAGGGTCCTAGGGGCCCCAGAAGAGCAGGCATAGTGGACTAGTTTCTAGAGTAGGTAGAGGGCTGGTAGAGGAATGGAGCAGACCAGGGATGAATAACCTGTTGAAGAGGACTGGGTCACTTGTCCTGACCTATGTTCCCCTCGCTCCCCACAGTGTGACAGGCTTATGCCGTCCTGTGTGTGCCCAGGGTTGTGTGAATGGCTCCTGTGTGGAGCCTGATCACTGCCGATGTCACTTTGGCTTCGTTGGCCGTAACTGCTCTACAGAGTGTCGCTGCAACAGGCACAGCGAGTGTGCAGGCGTTGGGGCCCGGGACCATTGCCTGCTCTGCCGCAACCACACCAAGGTAGGCTCCTAGGGCCCCCGGCCCCTGATCCTGAGGGATCAAGCCTTTGCTTGCCTTCAATCTGTGATCAGAAATTTTGTTTAAAAATTTATTTTGGTGGTGCTGGGGGCAGAACCTAGAGTGTCAGGCATGCTAGGCAAGCTGCTCTGCTGTTGAGATATCTTGAGGTTTATTTTGAATGCTGAAAAACCATGGGCAGGGAAGGGGTAGCTGAGCCCCTTTCTGCGGAGATATGAGAAGCCTTTGGGAACAGTGTGGTAGTGGAAAGAATGGGCCAGGGAGGGTGGGTGTTGGGAGGGCTTTGTAACCCTCTTAGGTCTTAGGGCTGGAAGTAAACAAGTAGACTGGGGGCTCAATCACAGCCAGACTGGAATGGTCCACATCAAGTGCCCAGCCCTGTGACCTGCCCCATGCCTCCCCAGCGGTTCTGACTGCTCTGTGTTGTGTTCCCAGGGTAGCCACTGTGAGCAGTGTCTCCCACTGTTTGTGGGCTCAGCTTTGGGGGGTGGGACCTGCCGACCCTGCCATGCCTTCTGTCGAGGAAACAGCCATGTGTGTGTCTCCAGGAAAGAGCTAGAAATGGCCAGGAGGGAGCCAGAGAAGTATTCACTGGACCCAGAGGAGGTGAGAGGTTTAAGTCTATACTCCTGGGTCTGAGGGAGGAGGGCTGGAAACTGGAATCCCAGGTCTGAGGGAGGAGGGCTGGATCTCAGAATCCCAGGTCTGAGGGAGGAGGGCTGGAGTCTGCACACCTGGGTCCAAAGGAGAAGAGCTGAGAGCTGGACCCCTGAGGGGTCTGATGGAGGGGTGCTGGGGCCTGGACTGCTGTGTCTGAGGGAGAAGAGCTGAGGGTTGGGGCCCTGAGGAGGAGGGCTGGAGGCTGGAATACTGGGTCTGAGGGAAGGGGGCTGAGTGCTGAATTGCTTGGTCTGAAGAGAAAGCCTGAGGACGGAGGGCTGGACTGCTGGATCTGTAGGAGGAGGGCCTGGTCCATGTCTCTGTGATCACCCTGTTCTTGTTTGGCCAGATTGAGAATTGGGTGACAGAAGGTCCCAGTGAAGATGAAGCTGTATGTGTGAACTGTCACAATAACAGCTATGGTGACAAATGCGAGAGTTGCCTCCACGGCTACTTCCTCCTGGATGGGAAGTGTACCAAGTAAGAAGAGCGGGCCTGACCCTTTCCCTTTTCCCTAGGAGGAACCCTGGCAACCAGACCTCCCTCCCCTAGTCCTCTGCTGTCATTCAGAAGTAGGTGCAGTTCCTAGGGAACCTGAGGCCAAGAACGGATTGGGGAAACTGACCATCTGGACCTGAGTGGGTCCCAGATGAGAGACTCCTCCCATTAGAGCCTGCAGACACTGGAGTCAGAGGGCTCAGAAGAGGCTGCTGAGGGAAGAGGGAAGATTCTGTGCCCTTCCTTCTGAAGGTTCAGAGAATTCTGGAATTCATCTAAGCTTATGGTCACCTAAAGGCTCTGGCCTTGGGCAATACGTTTGACTTCTGAGGGCATTGGCCCTCATGGGCGCTCCTCACCCCCTGCTCTCTTCCATCCTCAGATGCCAGTGTAATGGCCATGCAGACACCTGTAATGAGCAGGACGGGACAGGCTGCCCATGCCAGAACAACACAGAGACAGGCACGTGCCAGGGCAGCTCCCCCAGTGACCGCCGAGACTGCTACAAGTACCAGGTATGTCTGAAAAGTCAGTTACTGGACTAGGTGCCCATAGGACCCAAGGGCCAGAGTTGGATGAGGTGGCCAGGTGGCTGGACCAGCAACGTGGTGCTGAGTCTGTGGTTGTGGGATAGAGGTCAGCTTAAGACTGTTTTTGAGACCCAGTCAGGTTCAGGCTCTGCACACTGATGCTGAGTCCAGATATGGGCCTCATGGGGCTCTCTTTGACAGTCACAGCTTGCAGGCAGCAAATGCCAGAAAGTCCCTTCATAGTAGCTGAAGGAAAAAGCAACTGTATTGAGTTGAAAAACAGGTCTGATGGGGTGTAGTGACCCATATTTATAATCCCAGCTATTCAGGAGGCTGAGGCAAAAGAGTCGAGTTCAAGGCCAATCTGGGCCAGCCTCTCCCAAACACAAGGATGTGGTTCAGTTGGTAGAGTGCTGGGCTAGTATGCAAGAAAGCCCTGGTACTATATAAAGTGGGTATGTGACATAGACCTATAATCCTAGCACTTTGGAAGAGGAAACAAGAGGATCAGAAGTCAAATCTCATGTAACCTGGGCTGCATGAGACCCTGTCTCAATAACCAATGTGGGGCTGGCCATGGTGGTGCATGACTTTAGTCCTAGCACTCAGGAGGCATTGGTAGGTGGATCTCTGAGATTGAGGCCAATCTAGTCTAAATAGTGAATTACAGGGAGATCCAGTCTCAAAAAGACCAAAAAAAAAAAAAAAAAAACAAAAACAAACAAAAAAAAAACAAAAAAAACCCCACCCCCAAACAAACAAAAACAAACACCAAAACCAAAACCAGTGTGGGGCTGGAGAGATGACTCAGCAGTCAAGAGTGCTTGCTACTTTCAGAGGACCAGCTCACAGCCACTTGGAACTCTAGTTTCAGAGGATCTGACATCTGCTGGCCTCCATGGGCACCTGCACACATGTGGCAGACACAGAGACACATATGTACACATGAGTAAAAAGAAATCAGACTGGAGTGATGGCTCAGTAATTAAGAGCACTGGCTGTTCTTACAGAAGACCCAAGTTCAAATCCCAGCACCCACATGGTACCTAACAACCATCCATAGCTCCTGTTCCAAGGGATCGGATGTCCTCTGTGGGCATTGCACAACAGAGGTGCACTTACATATATGCTTTCCTGATGAATTATCAAAATGCCCATTGGAGGTCTGCAGAGATGGCTTAGCAGTTAAGAACACTGGCTGCTCTTGCAAAGGATCCTGGTTCCATTCTCAGCACCCAAATGGCTGTGAACAGTGGTCTGTAGCTCCAGTTCTAGGGGATCCAATGCCCTCTTCTGGCCTCTGTGGGCATTGTGCACACCTGATGTACTTGTATGCAGGCAAAATACTCACATTGAAGTAAAATAAAGTAAACTAGAATTAAGGAAAAAACAAAACGAGTTCAAGACCAGTCTGGACTACATAGCGTGACTGTCTCAAAAAAACAAAAAGCACTGAGTGTGGTGGCAGACGCCTTTAATCCCAGCTCTTGGGAGACAGGGGTAGGTGGATCTCTGTGAGTTCAAGTCCATCCTGGTCTACTTGGTGAGCTCCAGGCCAGCTGGGGCTATAGAGAGACCCTGTCTCAAAAAGACTGCCCTCCCCAACAACAACAATACCAAAAAACAAGCAAAACAAACAAAAAAGGCAGATATAGTTACTTTGACTGAGGAAGGCCTTGGTGAGATGATGCTTGAGGTGGAAGAAGGTGTCAGAAAGTGAACCTATGGAACTGAGCCATCTGGGCAGAGGACCAGCTGGTATAGAGGCCCAGAGATGTGAGAGTACCTAACAGTTTGGAAGTAGCCAGGTGGGCAGCCAAGGCTGGCTGACCGAGTTAAAAGCCATGAATGTGATTTCAGAGGTGCCCTGAGCAAGCCTTGGTTCCTGAGTACAGAGGCCCATCTAAACTCAGTGAGGTCAAGTCACTAGCCAAGGGCCACACGGTTAGTGAGGATGTACAGCCAGCACCCCATAGAACTCTTTATTGCTAAGCATCAGAGAACCAGAGGTTCCTAGGGACATTCTGGATGGGTGTCACAGGGGCTGTCTGGGTACTGGGAGGGGCATGGTGAAGTGGCCTTTTGGCATTGATATTAAGCCCTGAGCTCAACCCTGACAGCCACCTCTACCCCGCCGTGTCCACAGTGTGCCAAGTGCCGGGAATCATTCCATGGGAGCCCGCTGGGTGGCCAGCAGTGTTACCGCCTCATCTCAGTGGAGCAGGAATGCTGCCTGGACCCCACTTCCCAGACCAACTGCTTCCATGAGCCCAAGCGCCGTGCACTGGGTCCTGGACGCACAGTGCTTTTTGGTGTGCAGCCCAAGTTCACCAATGTGGACATTCGCCTGACATTGGACGTGACCTTTGGTGCTGTAGACCTTTATGTCTCCACCTCCTATGACACCTTTGTGGTCCGTGTGGCCCCTGACACAGGTGTCCACACTGTGCATATCCAGCCACCCCCACCTCCTCCACCTCCCCCACCTCCTGCTGATGGTGGACCCCGGGTAGCTGGGGACCTAGGGGGACTCGGGGCTGGGGGTGGGCCAGGTACTCCAGTGGAGCCACGGATACGGGAGGTGTGGCCACGTGGCTTGATCACTTATGTGACAGTGACAGAGCCATCAGCAGTGCTGGTGGTCCGAAGTGTGCGGGACCGGCTGGTGATCACCTACCCACACGAGCACCACGCCCTCAAATCCAGTCGTTTCTATCTGCTGCTGCTGGGTGTGGGAGACCCCAGTGGGCCTGGTGCCAACGGCTCGGCTGACTCGCAGGGCCTGCTCTTCTTCCGGCAAGACCAGGCCCACATCGATCTGTTCGTCTTCTTCTCTGTCTTCTTTTCCTGCTTCTTCCTCTTCCTCTCACTCTGTGTGCTCCTCTGGAAGGCCAAGCAGGCCCTGGACCAGCGGCAAGAGCAGCGCAGGCACCTGCAGGAGATGACCAAGATGGCCAGCCGCCCCTTTGCCAAGGTCATTGTCTGTTTCCCACCAGACCCTACAGGCCCAGCCCCTGTTTGGAAGCCAGCTGGGCTCCCACCTCCTGCCTTCCGCCGCTCCGAGCCCTTCCTAGCACCCCTATTGCTGACTGGAGCTGGGGGCCCCTGGGGACCCATGGGAGGGGGGTGCTGCCCACCAGCCATCCCTGCCACCACGGCTGGCTTGCGAGCTGGGCCTATCACCTTGGAACCCACAGAAGATGGCATGGCTGGTGTGGCCACACTGCTGCTCCAGCTGCCTGGTGGGCCTCACGCGCCCAATGGCGCCTGCTTGGGGTCAGCCCTTGTCACACTGCGGCATAGGCTGCACGAGTACTGTGGGGGGAGTGGGGGTGCTGGAGGTAGTGGGCATGGGGCTGGTGCAGGCCGGAAGGGACTGTTGAGCCAGGACAACCTCACCAGCATGTCCCTCTGACCTGCCGAGGGCCCTCCCACACAGCAGCCAAGTTGCCTGATGGGGCCACCCCAGCCTGAAGGGGACGGGGTCCCCTGGAAAGTCAGTCCTCAGAGACCACTGGCTCCTTTTCCCTTTGTTCTGCATTTAGCAACTATTTATTGAGCTGCTACTTCATGTCAGGCACAGAGCAAAGCAGGAATTGAGAGAGGAAGTCCTCTGATCTCCTGGGACTTTAGATTCTTGTGGAAGGAGACAATCAACCTGTCCCCAGGGGTATGTGCACACATGTGCATTGCACCAGTGCACATGCATGTGGGACACACACACACACACACACACACACACACACACACACACAGAATGGTTTCAGAGAAGAACTTCGAGACTTCAACAGGATATGGCGCTGAGGGACTGGGGTGAAGTCGCTTAGGCAATCAGAGAAATGGCAAAATGGGCTGAGAAAGATAAAAGATAACTGGCAGAGGGAATACTTGCGAGGCCAGAGGTCCTGAGGCTGGAACCAGTTTGTTTTATTGGAAGAGCCAGAACCCTGACCGTTGGAATCCTAGGTAGGATATTGGATTTTGTTCTCAGAGCAATGGGAAGCTGTTGGATGGTTCTGCGGGGTGGTGGGGGCGATGAAGAGCCAGCCTATTTGAGAAGTCTCTCAGCTTTGGAGTGAAGGATGGGTTGTGGGGGGCAACAGAGGCCACAGGCAGGTGACAGTGGGCAGGAGGAGGCTGATGGCAGTGACAGGGTCAGATGAAGGATGAGTGGCAGGATGTGATGATGCAGATGTCACTGTGAGGAAGGGGACACATCTAGAATGACCTACTTTTATGGCCTGGACCATAGATGGATAGTGGGGTCATTACTATGATGGAGAAGGCTGAGGCTTGTGGGGAAAATAGTTTGGGTGGGCATGAGATACACTTTGGGGGTCTTGAGCCAGTTTGGCCAGGAATTCATACAGAGACTGAGTATTTCAACAGGAGGAATTGAGTGTAGGCTGGTGAAGACAGTGACTGGAAAGGGGCCAGACAGTGCGACTGCCCAGAAGTAAGCAGGAAGCAGCTGCTGCTTTTCCTGGGCTGGAGGGACAAAGCTCAGTGGTGACCCCAGGCCAGGGTCACCAGGTGAAGCTGGAAATTTAGACTTGTGAGAGGGCTTCAAAGGAGGAAAATCCTCTGCCTGAGATGCTCCTCAGGCAGGTGTGAGGTGTCAGTGGGGGGAGGGGGCCTGGGTTGGAGAGACTGGGATTATCACTCAACTCTCTTCCTTGAGTCTTCTGGGCTCTCCCCAGAGCCCACCCCCACCAGGACCTCTGAGCTCAGCTCGTCTACCCCTTGAGGACGCCACTTCAGTCCTAGGCGGCTTCCTAAACTTGGGACTCTCTTGCCCAAGACTCCAGCTTCCAGCTGCTGTTTTGGTCCTGGGGTGAGGGCTGGGTCTCGAATCTTCACCTTGCTGGGAACCCCAGCTAGAGGTGTGGTTTCCCCCACTCTGACTATGTGCATGTCAGGCAGTAGGGAGCACATCTGAAAACAGGAGGGAGTGATTGAAGCAACAAATAAAAAGCGTGGGGAAGACCCAGGTGTCTGATTGCTGTTTGTGCAGGAGAGAGGAGAGGGAGGAGTGGGCTCTGAACCAGCACCCAAGCACTAAGTAACTGCAGTAAGGCCTTATCCTGGTGCTACTTCCAAACCATGTGACCTGAGCCTGGCTCTGCCCCTCGGTAGTGTGTGTGTGTGTGTGTATGTGTGTGTGTGTGTGTGTGTGTGTGTGTGTGTGTGTGTGTGTAGGGGGGGTACTATAAAATCTCTTGTGAAGAGCACTAAGGCCACGAAGGCCTTTGACCCTTTTCCTTGTCCCTGCCATAGTTTGGCTCAAGGGGAAACAGACTACCTGGGTCAAAGGCACAGGTTTTATTTACTCTGGGCTTCATCATTAGAAGCTCCTGGGGTTTATACTGAAACTGTTGTATTTCAACTGGAGGAATTGAGAACAGGGAGCTCGTCGGGCTGGTGAGGGTGGCAGCTGATAAAAGAAGGAAAATGAGGCAGCGGTGTGGCCTAATTCAAGCACACTTTTTTTTTGGGTCTTTTTGAGACAAGGTCTCTCTGTAGACCCGGCAGGCCTGGAAATCACCATGTGAACCAGTCTGGCCTTGATCTCACAGAGCTCCTCCTGCCTCTACCTCCTGAGTGCTGGGATTAAAGGTGTGCATCACCAATGCCCCACTTCAAGCACACTCTTAAGGTCAAAACAAAGCATTGTGCTAGCCTTCATAGTCCCCAATCCTGAGCAAGCAGAAGCCCAGACATGTTGGGAGCCCAAGATCTCTGCCTGATCTTAGCCTTGGCTCAGCATGTGTCTCACTGGGAGTCCTCAATGGTGTGCTGTCTCTGCACACCTGGAACAGAAGCACCAGCTTCTTGCTTCAGTGAGTAGTCGATGTGACATGTTGGACTTGATGGGTCTTCAAGTCTCCCATATGGCCCATGAATAGCATGGTGTTTTCAGACTTCGTGGGTAATTGAATCTTCAGATATCACTTTGACCCCCATATGAGTTTTGTCTTTACGAGCAGATGGTAGCTCCTACCCTCCGAGACAGACCATAAATTGGGGATTTTAGAAAAGATTTGTGTACTTATGTGCATGTGCTTTTGAGCAAGTGTGCTCTGGGCGGCCAGAAGAGGGCATCAGATTCCCCTGGAACTGGAGTTATAGGCGAGCAGTTGTGAGCTTCTCGAGGTGGGTGCTAGGAACCAAACTTCAGTCCACTGAAAGAGCAGCACGCACACTTGACCACCGAGCCATGTCTCTAGCCCAAAGTTGGCATTTATTGAGTGCAGAGTCATAGACATTACTTAATGGAGTGGCAGGGGGCATTTGAACCCTGAATGACCACTAGCTATTCTTAAGTTGCCCTTAGGTCCTTTCCAGCAGTTACCCTGGACTTTGTCTTCCTAAGCACAACGTGTGCACTGTGACTGGGCCTCAGGAGCACGCTTCCTTGTACTCTTTTCATTGATGGTCCCATACCCCTGCACGAACATCTCATAGGGTAGGACCATCTGTCTCCATGTACAGTTCCCTCCATGTGCAACCTCAGCCCTCACCTCTCCCAGGATGCGTCTGAACACAAAAGGCTGGTGGCGGGTGAAAGAAAGCCAGGTACAAGAGCCCAAAGTCCTGAGGTTTATGCCACCTGTTGTGACTCCCAACACCCTGGGGTTCTCTTTACTAACGGTCTGCAGCACTCCGAGCCTTACTGGATGCTTGGCATGAGTCTTCACCACTGAAGGCTTGTTCTCCCACTTGGAGTTAAATAAATCTCTTGCCTAAGAATTCAGGGCCAATTAAGCAATTAACAGTTCTCAGCCCACTAAACCTGTTAGAAGTGTGTGTCAGTCTGAGGCCTATAGATACCAAGGGAGCAGTGGAAGGCATTCTCTGAGGTATCTAGGCTGTGCCAAGACTGTCTATATCTTTATCTTTTTTTTTTTTTTTTTTTTTTTTGGTCTTTTTGAGGCAGGGTCTCCCTGTAGTCCCATCTGTCCTGGAACTCACTGTGTAGACTAGGCTTGCCTTAAACTCACAGAGATCCACCTGCCTCTGCCTCCTGAGTGCTGGGATTAAAGGCATGCACCACCATGCCCGGCTTCTTTATCTTTTTTAAACATTTTGTTGGGAGGCTGGAGAGCTGGCTCAGCTGTTAAGAGCACTTGCAGGTCTTCCAGAGGATCCCAGTTCAGATTCCAGCACCCACATCTGGCAGCTCACAACCACTTACAACTCCAGCTCCAGGGGATCTGATGTCCTTTTCTGGCCTCCTCTGGCACCTGCATGTATGCTCCCATGCACACACATGTACACATACACATGAATAAAAAATAAAACCTTTTTATTTGAGGCAAGGTTTTTCTATGTGACCCAGGCTGGTCCCATACCATGTACCTACGATACTCTCAAACTTCCTGCTTCAGCCTCCTGAATGCTGGGATTACAGGCCTATGCCACCACACCTGGCCCTAAGACTGTCTTTCTAATTTTGCTTATTTTCCAGATGTGGGCCGAGATTCTGATAGGCCATCTGCAGCTGTGGGGTTAATGGTTTTATTTGTTGTTTACACGGCCCGTCCTGTCAAACTCTGAGCTGTACCATCCACACCTAGACACTTTTTATGCATCCCGCCTCTCTCAGCAACTAGTTCTTCTCTCCACCCAGATTCCCTCCCTGCGACAATAAAAAAAAAAGAAAAGAAAAAAAAAAGATGTAGGCGGGGTTGGTTTTCCGGTTTTTATTGTGGGTGTATTTTTTGGTGGGACAGGGGCAGTGGGACAGGCTCTCCCAGGAGGGGCCCCAGGAGGCCAGGTGTAACCAGAGGACTCAGGAGGAGGAACGTGGGAACCTCCTTACTCTCGGATCTTCAGTTCCCGCGCCATCTGACAGAGGGCGCACGGCAGGCAAAAGGTGAGGGCCGCCCAGTCGTGTCCGACGGAGCCCTGGAGAGTGGGAAAGAGAGCGACTGAGAGAGCGAGCGAGCGAGAGAGAGATCAGGAGTTTTGCCTGGAGTCGCAAGTGGTCGGTCCCCAGCCCTCTGTCCTGTGGGCCCAGGATTGGCACGCACCTGGATGTGGTAGCGCTCGCGCATGCCAGTGCGCAGAGAGTGCAGGCCTCCGGGCAGGTACGGCGCACAGCAGCACTCGCCGAAGTCGTCCGAGATGCGGCAGGCCAGGCACAAGGGAGCGAAAGTCCCGCACAGACCTGGACAGGGAGGGCCGGTCAGGGGCGGGGCCACCTGCTCGTACCCGGCGCCACGGCGGTGAGGGTCCGAGAGGGAGGGGAATTTGGTGGAAGAAATGAAGTTCCCAAGGCAATCAGGGTCCAGGGTAAGGTGGTGGGGTGGGTTAGCGGCTGGAGAGGGACCTAGGTCACCAAGAGGAAAGTTGAGCGCAAGGAGGGGATGTTGGGGTGCCAGGCACAGTGACGGCTACAGAAAGGGAATTCGGAGTCCTACGAAGCCAAACGAGAAGAGATGCACAGGGAGGGCCGGGAGGAGTGCAGAGGTGTTTCCCTCCCCTGCGACCTTCCCAGGGCACTCACAGACAGGCATATCGTTGCAGCAGTCGGTGAGGCCTGTGTGCCAGTCGCTGAGCTGTGTCTGGTAGCAGGTACTGGCGCACTGAGGCTGACTGGTCACTGGGTAGGACATGGCTGCGAAAGTGAAAAGAGGGGGTCAGGAGGCATCCTGGCAGGCCTTCTGGACCGCTGCACCCCTGCCACCCTCCTTTCTGCCGGGCATTCTGGGTGGGGCGACTTGGCCGCCCACTTGAGGGAACATGGCTTGGCCTCCCCATTCTCGTCTGCCGTATCTGGTCATCAACACCTAGTCTTTCCCTGTTGCTGGCTGCCAACTGCATATCTGGTTGAGCTAAGGGCGGGAGGAAGGGTGGGCACCGCAACTGGGTAGAGCCTTGACGTGCCACCTCCTCCGTGACCGGATTTAGAGTGCTGGCCTCCAGCATTTTAGGGGCCTCTGGGGCAGAAGCAGAGGCCATTTGTCTTCAAAGCCAGGGCGCCCAGGGGAGGGAAGCTGTGAGGTTCCTGGTACCCAGAAGGTTGCTGGTCCATCCAGCGATCCCACCTTTGCCTTTCACGTTGTCGTGCATCTCAAACTGCATTTCGCTGGCCCTGAGGAGGTGGCTGGTGTGTGAACGGCCGCAGGGGGTGGCTGCAGCAACAGCAACAAGCAGTGGAGTGTGTCCAAGGGAGGCTGGATACTGGGCAGGGGAGGGCAAGGGACTAAGGCACTGGGGGCTGGGCTCTCAGGGGGAAGGGAGCTGAAGAAAAAGAGGCCAAGTTAGCCTGCTGTCTGGGATGGATTGGATAGGGCGAGTAACTCGCCCATCTTTTTAACAGCTGCCGAACAGACCCCAGTGGACCCTCCTTGGAGCTGAGGCAAAGCTGGAGAGAGAGACAGAGACAGACAGAGAGACAGAGACAAGATATGGAAGAGCTCTGAGCCAGAGAGACAGAGACAAGATATGGAAGAGCTCTGAGCCAGGTGCCCACTGAGATGTGCTAACAAAAGCCACAAGCACTTTGCCATCTCTGCATGCCCATCTCTCAGAGGGACACAGACTCAAAACTGAGATGTCCTGTGTCTGATGACCCAAACCAAGAGGACAAAGAGAGTGGATGCTGGGCCCCAGAGTTTCTAAACAGTCCAGTGCCACTCAGATTGAAAAGGCAACTCTGTAGAATGGGCATTGAGAAAGAGCAAAGTGCCCCTAGTCACAGACAGAGAACTGCAAGGAGCCAAGATGTGTCAGCTGAGTGGAGAACAGAGCCACAGTGCCCTGCCTGAAAGCAGAGGCCGCTGGGAAGAGAAGGTGCTCCTACCTGCAGGCCCACGAAGAGGTGATGGAGAGAGAGGTGCTCAGTGACTCGAACACTTAAGCTCTCTGTCTCAGGCCAGAAGCTGCTTATATGGGCCACTGCACACAGCCCTGGGCGGGGCTCTGACAGAGGTGTCAAGGGAGCCTAGCCGGTCTGGCTGACCGTCGTGCCTTCCACAGGGATTTTCTGCCCTCCTTCTACGTTTCCCCCACCCCCACCCCACTTCCCGTCCTACAACACCTCTCAGGACTGAAGAGCTGGGACAGATATAGAAACAAGAGTGGGTAGACCTAGAGACAGGGAGTTGGGGTTAAACAGCAGGGAGGAGCGGAGTAAGGTCAGTTTCAGAGACCAAAAGAGAAGATGGAGGGACTGGAGGACAGCAAGACAGAAGGGAGGAAGTGGATAATGGGAAAGAGAGAGAGGAGGTTCAGAGAGATAGAGACAGGAAGAAAAAGATGCCGAGGGACTGGAGAGATGGCTCAGTGGTTACGAGCACTGGTTTGATTCCCAGCACCCACATGGCAGCTGACAACCATCCCTAACTCCAGTTCCAGGGGAATCCGATGTCCTCTTCTGACCTCCGTTGGCATTGCAGGACACGGGTACACTTACCTACATGCAGGCAATACACATAAAGTAAAAAATAAGTAAAATATTTTTAAAAAAGGTGCTGAGAGACAGAGGTGCGAGATCTGGGGAGAAATAAAAGATGAAATGCGGATTGAGAGAGGGTAGACATGGACAGGCGGAGGAAGGGGTGATTGAAGGCACCACAGAGGGAAGGGTAAAGAAGAAGGAAAGGGCATGGGAGATGAGGAAGGCCTGTGATGTGGTACAGAGTAGAGCATGTGGCTTTCTTTCTCATCTTGCCAAGTGATTTGGTCATATTGAGGGGTAAGGGGGGTGCACACTGCTCTCCTATTCAAGGCCAGGAGACACAGAGGGGAGCAGTGTGTCTTAGGGAGCGATTCCTGTGGGGACCAAAGTAAATAACCCCATCTTATCTCAACTCCAAATGGGAAGGGAGCAGGCTGGGGACTGAAAAGAGAGCTGTAGGAATGGCCCTGGTCATGACCACAGTGTTATTAGAGCAGAGAGGGGATGGCTGGAACATGGGCCTGAGGGAGGAGGAGGGCTTGAGCCTGGACCCCTGAACTGAGGGAGAAGGGCTGGGGTCTGGACTCATGGGTCTGAGGGAGGAGACTGGGGTCTGGACCCCTGAGTCTGAGGGAACAGAACTGAGCCCGAGTCCCTTAGTCTAGAGGAGCAGGATCTGGATCCCGGGGTCTTTAGTATAGGCTTGCATTTCTGGGTAGATAGTTGGATGAATCCAAGTCCAAAGTACTGGGCTTCAGTGGTGAAAGAACTGGGGACTGGATACCTGATTCACCAAAGTTTCCCCCCAACAGGCCTGACGGGGTTGGAGGTGACTCAGTGGTGAAGAGGCATTAGAGCTGGGTGGGGTTCCTACCATGGGTGTCACCCCCAAAATATAGGAGGCACCAGAAAATTGGGGTGTCACCTCTAAAGAAGGTTGTGTCATCACACCACAGTGTGTGGATATGATGGCAGGTGGATCACCTACTGGTCTGGCCTGCGATCGCAGCTTTCCCCACACGCCCAGCACACAAGGACCCAAGCCTTTGTCCCCTGGCACCACCCAGATGGCTCTCTTTGTCCCCAGACCTATGGCAGTGCTCATCATCTTGCTTGGTCTGGGAGACTGCATATTTGGTGGTCATCTCCCATTTCATTCCTGGGTCTTTGTCTTTCTATTGCTCCAGCTCTGAATCTGAATTCCTTCCTCCCTCCCTCCCTCCCTCCCTCCCTCCCTCACGTGTATAGCTCTTTATGAAGCTGAGTTTCTGGATTATCATATGCATAAAGTCCTATTCCCTCCCTCCCTCCCTCCCTTCCTTCCTTCCTTCTTTCCTTCCTTCCTTCCTTCCTTTCATTCCAGGCTGTCCTCTAACTCACTATGTAGCTAAGGATGACTTTGAACTTCTGATCCTCTTGCCTCCACCTCAGAAGTACTGAGATTACAGGCATGCACCATCAGGGCCAGTTTATGTGATACTGTGGATCAAATTCAGGGCCTTGTGCATGCCAGGCAAGTACTCTACCATCTGAGTGAGTTTACTTGCTTGTTTCCTCCTTCCCTTCCCTTCCCTTCCCTTCCCTTCCCTT